ACCACGTTTGTCTCCACAAGCAGTGGTGTAACTCCCTAAAGCTTGGTGGCCCGTCTTTGCCCTCTCCTCCCTCCTCTGTCATCATGATGCTGCAACCATCTCTGCTCCTCTCTCTCTCTCTCTGTGTCTCTGTGTCTCTCTCTCTCTCTCTCTCTTCATTTCCTGTGATGCACAGACAGTGGGGAGTTCATTGAATAATTCAGAATTAGCATGAATTTTTTAAAGCTAAAGTCTTTCTCTTTATTCCTGGTGAAACACGCTGTGCAGGAAAAGGCCACCAAGGCTGTTCCGCAGAAAATCTTCTCAGCTAAACGCTCCTCGGTTTTTATTCCTGCAAATCACTGTTGTTGTTTTTTTTTTTCTCTCTCTCTCTCAGTCTTTGTTGCCTTTTCAAAGCCAGAAGCTGTATATTTTCTGCTCAACCTGATTCTGAGAATCTGTTGGTTTTTCTCTCTCGGAGTGGTTTCCATGTGAGGAGTTAATATCTGATCTAACTCTTCATTTTCTAGTCGTCAGAAAAGAAGAATTCACAGAAACCAGGTCTCACAGTGAGAAAGCACACTGACCCAGTTTTAACCTCCAGTTTGAAACCTGTGGGAGGGGGGTGGGGGGGTGGGGGGGTGGAGGGGTGCATTCCTCCCTTGGATGAGGTCATCAGCTCAGGCTTTTCCAAGGTCGTCACTCATGCAGTGTTTATGGGAATTTGGAAAGGAATTCATTTGCTCATGACGACATTTTACAGTGGAAACATAAACACAGTATTTTCTGCCCCCCCCCCCCCCCCCCCCCGCCCGCCCCTCCCTCTCCTACTCAGCCCTGAACGTGAACCCCCTCATCGACATAAACAGCCAAAACCATCTTCAAACAGCGTCTAAATAAAGAATTTCACTAAGTAATTCCCTCTGAGAATACTTTTCCTTTTTTTTTTCTTTTTTTGTTCCACTCCTCTTCTCCTTCAGCTCCTCTTTACCGCCCCCTTCAGTCCCACATGAGGGGTAAGAACCCCTGGCCCTAGGTCTGCAGTTGTCTCCCTAACACCAGTCCCTGCTCTAACTGCAGCCAGCAGAGGAGGAGGAGGAGGAGGACTGGGGGGTTGGGGGGGTTCCTAAAGTTAAAATGTTTTTTTTTTTTTGTTTTCTGAACAAAATTGATGTCATGATAACGGTGCTTCGTTTTGTCTTTTTTAGCTAATTCAGGCGGCTCCTTCCAAGGCCCCCAGACCCCCCAGTCTTCAGGCAGCAGCTCCACAGCAGACGCAGCAGTGGATCTGAAGCCCCCCACCCCAGCTACCACCCCACTGGGTCAGGTCACACCTCTGCCTCCCAACAGGTATCCCAACTGTCATTTGTACTTTAAATATAAAACTATTTTTTTAACTACTACTATTCAGTAGCGATGCAGTAACGAATTAAAAAATAGTAGAAAAAATGATTAATATTTATTTACTATGTTATTAAATTGATGACCTAAAAGGTAAACAAAAGCTCAGTCAGTGTTGAGAAGGTCTAAAGACAAATAATAATAATGACAATTATTATTGCTATTATTATTATTATTGAAAATTATATTTAGTAAATATTTTGCCACCATATACTGTACCTAACATTATAAGTAAGTATATAAATTACAGTATTATTACAGTAAGTAAATAAATGTGTCCGTATTTATCAACAATGTTTGTGACCTTTTCACTTTTCTAACTTTTAATGCCTGAATTTCCACTGAAGTGAATGAACTTCCCTCTCTCCTTCCTCACCTCGTCCAGGACTAGCGTCAGTGTTCAGGACCCCTTCTCTGAGGTGAGCGACCCAGCCTTCCAGAAGCGTACCACCTCCCTACCCCCCTCGGCTCCTTACCAGCAGGGCCTCAACATGCCTGAAATGATGATGAGGATGCAGTACGACGCCAAGGACCCCTTCGCTGGGATGAGGAAAAGTAAGTGAAGCACAAAAATCATAAAAGTTCCCCCTCGGTTTTTCAAAATCAGACTGTAAAAAAAAAAACACACATACACAAACCAGTCACATGACCTCACGTGTATATTTTTTACAATGACCAATGGTAAATGCATAGAAAACATGAAGAAAAAAGTTAAAAGTCCAAGAAGTGTTTTATTTGTCCAAGAAAATGGTTCATTCTTTCTGTTTCTCCCTGCATTTCATGTACAGTCCAACGGGTTAAAAGCTACAGTTAGCATGTTAGCTTTGACGCTATCTTCGATAGGCTTCTTCTTCTTCTTTTTTGGGAATAATGTATTATATTATATATATATTGTAATAATTATTCAATATTATATAATATTCAATATTGGGCAATATTTAATATTTCTACTCTTTACGGCCACATCTCTAAATTACCGGTTGGTGTTCGACTTTGTTGACTCATTAAGTCACTTTTTAGACGTCGTTTAGAACTTCGAGAAAACTTCGGTCCATGACAGACTGTGTATTTAACATTTGTATCTGCAATTCCAGCATTTTTAAACGCGTTTAATACGTACGTGATGCAGCGTCCTGATTGGCTGATTTGATATTTGCGTTAACGTGTATATGTGATTTTATGTCAATTTTAAAAAACATACGTTTGTTTTCCCTCCCAGCACTATGAAAGGTGACCACGTGACCTGCTCGTTACACCACCCGAGCCTTTAAGGGAACTAACGCCAGCTCATCCGACGCTGCTGTAACTTTTGCCTTCGCCTCGTCTTAACTTTGTTCGCTCTTTTCATCTTCCTCATTTCCAACCTTTCATCTTTTCCCACCCCCGCTGAGCGGCACCTGTTTTCGGCGTTTAGTTTTCAGAACAAACAGCAGTTAAAGAAAGGGAACCGCGGCTCCTCTGAAGGCTGATGAGAATGGAGTCTGAATGAGTAATGTGGACGATGTCGGCTGCATAACAACAGTAATAGGTCGAACCGTGAAAACCGCGCAGTATTCATAGAGGACTGCTGCCACCTGCTGGTTAAAAACAAGACAACTGGATAAGGACTTGTTTGGTTTTGTTGGATTGGAAAGTTTATTGCAAATATGGTCATTTAAAAAAAATTAATAAATATGGCCAAATACAGCATAGTAGTTAATAGTTTTATATTATATTTTTTTAAAAAGAGAGGAAATTAAGCAAAAGAAATGATTTCTTGACGGACATCAACTTGAGTGATTTGAAAAATAGTGATGTATATGATTTGCATCAACATGGTTCTTGATGTGAATATTTAAAAATTTTCTTTTTAAATAAATTTTCTTTTGGGGGGTGTTTTTTTTGTTTGGTTTGTTTTTTTACATTTTAATGTATAGTTGAATTGCTGAATTTCATATTCTTCCTTCCTTCCTTCCCCCAGTGGCAGGAGCTGATCCATACATGCCCAGTCAGATGCCTGCTGGTGGTATGCAGGACATGTACGGTCGACCCCCCACTGCACTCAGCATCAACCAACGCTCACAGTACCCATACGGGCCGGGCTACGACAGGAGGTACGTACACGGGCCGTCAGTGACGTACACGGACATTTTGGGGGTGGAGGGGGCTCGGTGAAAACGAAGGGCTCCTTGTTCAGCGTAATGAACCACCAAAACACTTGGTGTGAATTCAAATAAATCATTTTTAATTTTTAATAAAATCACAGGAACAGTTCTGACCTTTTCAAAGGTCCTAAACAGTTAACATGACTATTAGTGTTACTACACGCTATTAATCGAGAAAACATTAATTAATTTTAAAAAAATGAACTTTCAAAGGGAATTACAAAGGATTACGAGGAGTGATTTTTCTTTTATTATTGTAAGTCAGACACATGTCAGTGATTTATTGTCAGAGTTTTTTTGTGTTTGCCCCTCAGACCTGATCATGTGATGGGGATGGAGGGTGGGGGGGGCATGGGCCCCCCAGGGAGTCAGAACAACCTGGGCCCTGCTAACAGTGAAGGCAACATGTACTCTCCCAGCAGATATCCTTCACAACAGAGGTCAGAGACTGTGTGTGTGTGTGTCTGTGTGTGTGTGTAGAATCCACGTATAGACAGTGATAAAAACTGATGTCAGCGAGTGATAAATGTGGTCTCACTCCTCTCTTCTTCTTCTTCTCACGTACAGACAGTGATAAAAACTAATGTCAGCGAGTGATAAATGCGGTCTCACTCCTCTCTTCTTCTTCTTCTTCTTCTTCTTCTTCTTCTTCTTCTTCTTCAGACATGATGGCTACGGTCAGCAGTATCCCAGCATGCCATATGGGATGCATCCATCTGGGATGTATCCACAGCAGCAGGTGAGACACAGCTCTAAGGTCTACTGTATCTGTGCCTCGTGAAAGCGACGCAGTTCATGATGCTCTAGAGAAAATAACATCGGCAAATTAGTTAAATTAAATTACATTAAATTACTATCAAGGTAATGTAGTTGTAAATATAATAACATGTTGTACTATAGTTCTGTTGATCCTGACACCGATCTGTTACCGTTCCACACCAGCAGGGCTACAAACGGCCCATGGACGGCATGTACGGACCTCCACCCAAGAGGCATGAAAGTGACATGTACCCCATGGCGTATGGCAACCAGCAGCCAGACATGTACAACCACTACCCCAGTGGCTATTCAGAACACAGAGCCCTGCAGGGGCAGTTCTCCTACCCCTACCCCCGTGACCGTATGGGCCCCTCTGGCCAGAGCCAACACGGTATGATGGGTGGAGTTCCTACCCCTAACCACGTCGCCGATGGGCCCAACATGTGGCCCTCCAGGACGGACCTGGGCTATCCCTATCCCAACCGACAGGGACCCCCATCTCAAATGGCGCCGTACGGCTCTATGGGCAGAGACGACATGGACGGGCGTCCGGGTCAGGACCAGTGGCATCGTCAGTCTCCCTACATGTCCTCGTCCGGAGGTATGCCTCCCTTGCCTTCCCGCCAGCCGTCATCGTATTCCAACTCCTCGTCCATGGTCAACCACCTGCCCAGAGCCCCCAGTCCGGGGGCCTTCCAGCGATCTCTGGACTCCCGTATGTCCCCCAGCAAAGTACCGTTCATGTCCCCTATGAAGATGCCCAAGCCTGGCATGTCCATGATGGGCCCCCAGGGCAGTGGACCCATGGGGCAGTACCCTCCCAACCTGAGGAGGGATCTCAACTACCCACAGGGGTCAGTGGAGGCCACACTGCCCATCCTGAAGCCCCGTCGAAAGCTGACCTCGAAGGACACCGGTGAGTCCGGTTCTTCCGTTCTTTTGGTTGTTTCTGTTCCAACGTGTTTCTAATCAAAAACACCCACAATGCATTAGTTCGGCAGTCCACCCTGAGGTGACTGCAAGGGAAGGAATTCCAGTGCTCAATGTCCCTTTTATCATCTGGGCATGTCTGATCATCATCCCCTCCACCCCCACCCTCCTCCCCCTTGTTCCAAAACATCCCACTGTTTCAATCCCAGGAACGCCTGAGGCCTGGCGCATCATGATGTCTCTGAAGTCGGGCCTGTTGGCGGAGAGCACGTGGGCTCTAGACACAATCAACATCCTGCTGTACGATGACAGTACGGTGGCCTCTTTTAACCTCTCCCAGGTAAAGTCCGTTTGACTGACAGGTCAATGGGCCTTTAGCGCCGCTGGAGGAGGAGCTAATGTAGAGTGTGTTCTAATACTGGTCCAGTTCCTTGGTGTCTTTATGTGCATTTGTTTGACACGTTAAACAAGAAGCAGCAGCTGATACTTGACAGTGATGCTGTTAGCAGCATTTAGCCGCTAGCTAAGTGCCTTCTGTTCTGAAAGCAGCAATATGTTAAATATAAAATTAAATTAGTTTAATTTTAAATATATACAATATATCAGAGCTTTTCACTTCGACCAGACATGGGCAAACTGTGGCCCGTGGGCCAAATACGGCACGCTGGTCTTTCCAATCCGTCCCGCAAAACACAGGTGGAAGATATAGGAAAGACTGACTTCAATCCTAATGTTTCATGCCTTTCAAGGAATAAACTGTAATTTCAGGTGATGCCACTAGATGGTGGCAGACGTCAGATGTGCCAAATTGTCTTATCTCCACTGACGTTACCCTGTCTCTGTCTGACAGTTGCCTGGGTTCCTGGAGCTTATCGTAGAGTACTTCCGTCGCTGTCTGATCGAGATCTTTGGAATCCTGGAAGAATTTGAGGTGGGGACTGTAGCACAGAGGAATCTCCTTAATCCGACCTCCGACCAGAAGAACAAAAGTCAGACCTCAGACCCCGAAGAGGAGTTGGATGTTCGGCCCGAGCCACAGTCCATTGCTGCTGCAGTGAAACCAGGGGAGCAAACAGGACGAACAGCACAGGAAGTTCCATCTGTAGCTGCAGAGGCAGGAACGGCTGTGGGAGACGACGGGAAGGAGGACGGTGCTGAGGCTAGCATCAAGACGGAGAGCAAGAATAATGAAGCGAGGCAGGAAGAGGCTAAAGAAGTGAAAGAAGAAGAGGAGGAGAGGGCGAAGGATCCAGAGAGTAAGATGGAGTCGACAAACCAGTCCGTGTTAGAGCTAGAACCTAAACCTAAACAAGCCAGCAAGTACGATAAACTTCCCATCAAAATCGTCCACAAAGAGGACCTAATTGAAGACATCACCGAGCGCTTAGGATACATCACTGAGTTCACCAGTGGTCTGCTGCACTGGCAGGCTGGTGGAGGCGACTCCACGGCCCACATCCAGACACACTTTGAACCGCGGCTTGGACCACCTGCTGGGGCAGAGGAGAAAGTGCAAACAGAGAACGGGGAAGAAAACGAAGCAGAGAACCAATCAGTGAAAAGCATCACGGCCACCATCGATGACGTCCTCTGCGCTCGGGTCGATGCCCTGTCGTACAACCACCCTGCACGCTTCTTCCCATCCTACCCCTTCAGGGTGCACTCTGACGGCCAGCAGGACCACATCACGCTGCTGGAGGACGAGCCTCGCTGCCTGGACGACGCGCCGCTCTCCACGACGTCCGCCTGGCAGGAATCGCTGTCCAAGCGGTGTCTCTGTGTCTCCAACATCGTCCGAAGCCTGTCCTTCATTCCAGGCAACGACTTGGACATGTCACGCCACCCGGCACTGGTCCTGCTGCTGGGTAGGCTGCTTCTGCTGGACCACCAGCACCCAGAGAGAAACAGATCGCCCCCTAGCTTTCAGAGAGACGAACAGCAGGAGCAGGGCTTGTCGAGCAGCAAAGAGGAGTGGTGGTGGGAGTGTCTGAGCCTGCTCAGGGAAAACGCCATGGTCACGCTAGCCAACATCTCCGGGCAACTGGACCTCTCCACCTACTCGGACACCATCTGCCTCCCCATCCTGGACGGTCTCCTCCACTGGATGGTGTGTCCATCGGCCGAGGCCCAGGACCCTTTCCCTTCAGCAGCGCCCCACTCCCTGCTCAGTCCCCAGAGGTTGGTGTTGGAGTGCCTTTGCAAGCTCAGCATCCACGACGGAAACGTAGACCTCCTGTTGGCCACGCCGCCCTTCAGTCGACAGGAGAAACTGTTCAGCGTCCTGCTCCGCTACGTGGGTCAGAGGAACGCGCAGGTGTACAGGGAGATGGCGGTGGCCGTCCTCTCCCACCTGGCACAGGGAGACCCCACGGCTGCACGCGCTATAGCCATGCAGAAGGGCAGCGTGGGTAATTTGGTAGGCTTCTTGGAGGATGGCGTCAGCATGGCGCAGTACCAGCAGAACCCTCACAGCTTACTGCACATGGGCCACCCGCCTTTGGACCCACCTAGCATCAACATGCTGTGCAGAGCAGCTAAAGGCCTCCTGGCTATGGCTAAGGTGGAAGAGAACAAGACAGAGTTTGTGCTGTATGAAAGCAGGTTGTTAGAAATCTCCATCTCCTCGGTGCTCAGTGCAGGAGTGGTGGCCGTCATCTGCCAAGTCCTCTTTCACTTGGGGAAGTTATGACAGGAGGAGCGGCTGGACTTCTGATGACAAAACGTGTCTGTGGTTTTTTTTCTATTTTTTATTTATCAAAATAACAGAACATGTTTGTTTGTTTTTTCACATCAACAAATGATTAATGTAAAGCTTCCAGAGCCCGTGGGGAAACCCCGGTTCTGGGTTCTTTGAAGATGCTCATTTGAATAATTATCACACAAAAAAAAAAGGTTTAATACCTGCTGGTGTTGGATTGCTACGTTTGATTTTTTTTTTGCTTTGGTTTCTCGTTGGGTTGAGTTGTCAGCCGCAGCCGCCACCAGAGTTTGGTGCTGAATTCAACTGTTTCATTGGCGTTGCTAGGTCACTAAGATATTTTTCAGTTTTATAACTGCCAGTGTACGCTCACCCATGTTTCGTTAAACTGAGTATTTATTTAAAATGTGACGCTGTACAGTGGTTTGGACTTTTGTTGCCAACAGCTGTGGGGTATAAACACTGACTTTTAAGAGTTAAAAGTTAAAAGTATATGTCTCCATCGCTGGAAGATAAATTGTGCAATATAGGAGTAGAGCAAGTTTTTTGGGGGGAGGTTGGGGGAGGCAGGAAGATAATACAGATCTTTAAAAGACAGCTGCAGTGTATGCTCAAAGCCATGGGGAGGCAGCATTGCACCAGCCAATCAACTTGAGAGCAGAGCATCTGTCGTAAGACGTGTCTAACTTATCAATCACAGCCTCAACACGTGTCACAGATAAACTTTGTGTTTCCAAAGCACTTGTGTTACGTCTGAGTTTTTTTGTTTTGTTTTTTTGTGTTTTTTTTCATCACTGTGTAAATAAACTGTTGTACAATGGAGCCACACGGTTCTTTCGGTCTCTGTCGAGCCTAGCAAGAGATGGGACTTTCTGACTATTATAATAAATGCTTTTATTGTTGGTAAAATTTGTTATTGTTATTATACATATTTTGTTAATCGGGTCAAATATTTGAACAAGGCAGATGTATCTGATGTTTCGATGTACAAAAAAAAAAACAACTCCTGTATGCATTGTATTATAGCTGAGAAAACAATCGCTTTGGTAATCAAACATGGAAGTGCCAGGGTGAGAGGGTATCAACGAGAGGAAACCACGCAGGAAACCTGAACATGTTTCTGTTTGTTACTGTCCTCCATCGATGTCAATGGGCGTATTTTTAAATCCGGATGATGCCGAAAAAGAAAAAGGACCTGGAAGGCTCATTGTAAACTTTGCCTTTTTTGCCGCAGTGTCTCTCTTTTATTCAGTATACACCTTTATATTCTGTGCTGCACATGTCACAAATAAATGTACGATGAACATCGTTACACCCCGGAGGGATTGCATTATGTCCAGACAATCTTAGGCCAATAAAACAAACGTCAACTGCTTCAACGTCAGCTGCCTGTCAATGACGTTTCTATCGGTTTGTGAAAATGTTTCTGTCAGACGGAAATGTTGCCGCGGTGCTAGGGGGAAAAAAAGGGGTTCACAGGATGGATGAGATAAGGATTCGGCTTCTTTCATTATGACGTTGATTTTAAAGAATAAATGCAGAGTTATTTCTATCAGTTCATTGTTGACATACGGTATATTTCATATGTGTAGCAACAATTTGTTCTTTATTCGACACCTAAGTCAGTGTTGAACAACTTTTTTTTTTACAGAAAATCAATTCCACGGCAACACCACCGATAATTTCCCATGACACACCTGGCCTCCGACCCGCGAGTGCTGAGCTGAAATGTCAACGTCGAAGATCGTGTCATGCCGTGGGCCAACCATTCACACTCACACGTAGGGTCACTTTACAGTCAACAGTTAACCTGATACGTCGTGTTTTTGCAGTGAGTGATTAAACCAAAGTACCTGGACAAAGAATCCACGCAGCCGCTTGGACAACATTGGAAGAGACGCGGAGATCGAACCGGTGACTAACCGCTTTTCCACTGTTTGTCCCGGTTTTGTTGTGAAAACATGAAGTTTTAATGCCTTGCCTTTCAAACAAACAAACAAACAAAACAAACTTATAAACTGTGGACTGAGGATAAACATGACTTCAAGAGAGAAGAGAGGGCGAAACGTGTAATACCAGTTCTCACCACTTGAGGCCAATAGAACTCTTATTATATAAGACAGTGTTCACACTTTGTTGGCTTGGGAGTTTCTTTTCAGTTGACCAGACCAACGTGATCCACCTACATTGATATTCTTTAATATATATTTTGCCATATGAGCTAAATATACTTTATATATATACATTATATGTTGATTAAATAGCTGTAGCTGTATGGCACATAGTCAAAAATGGTATTGTTGCTAGTCTAAAGTTGACGTTTATTTTTAATTATATGTTTAATTACTAATGCTCTATCAGTACTCCCTTTGCAATTTACTAGTAGATCCTATCATCTACTTATTGGGCACCTCTGATATTTTTTATGATTTTTTTTAATACAGTATATCCTCTGAAGTCACTGATATTCTTTTAAAAAAACTCACACATTTTTAGGTTAATGAAGAAAACGATCCTTACTGATTCTGAGGTATTTTAGCTCTTCTGGCAGCTCTGTTCGTCGGTCAGAGTTAGCTTACAGTATCAGTGGCTGGAACTGCAGTATCTTGAATCATCTGTACTTTGAACAAGCAAACATTTTCAGCTGAATGGGGAAAAAAAAAATTTTACACCCAGATTACATTTATTTGGTACATTTTGTTAAAAGTATTTCATATGTGTGCCAGTAGTACTTCCTTCTTTACTTCTCTGTCTAAATATAAGACCTCACTTCCTCATGTTATTTTTACTGTATCTGTGTCTTTGAGGGTCCCTCCCCGACCCCACCCCTTCTATTTCCTCTCGTTCTTCCTGTCAGAGACTTTGGGTCATTTTGACCTTATAACTGTTGATAACATTTTCCATGGTCACAGCAGGGCCACTGTCTGGACTTCCTTTAACATTCCTGAAGTGTGTCCCGGTCACACCAAATCAATTTCAGCAAGAAATAGAGAAAAACATGGACGTGTCACCTTGACTGACCCTTTTGTAATTTTAAATTTAAAATGAACCCTTTAGCGCTACATGACAGGAGTGATCCGTGAGTGGTGTGGACTGGCAGCACTTTGGACCAACTGTAGCCTAGAGATATTGAAAATTTGGCAGACCAAGATACACATAGAGCTGCGTGTCATCAGTGTAAACAGTGACTGGAGCGATCCTGTATTTAGCACAACTATTTAACGGTCCAATGTGTGACTGTCCTGAACTCACAGTTGCTACTAAGACGTTTCTTAACAGTTACCCTAAAAAGTGAGTACATTTTATTTTATTTACTTCAGGTTTTCCATGCAGTGACAATTGATGCCTTTCTTAATTATTGACTGAAGATATTTCACTGTGTTCACCCACATGTGGACCATAGTCTGGGCCAGGTCTTGGTCTCTTTCTTTCCAAATATTCCAAATATTGTATCCTTCTGATTTATGCAGTACGATTGGGTTGAATGGAAACTCAACCAATGTGAGAGTGAATAGTCGTTTGGTTCTAAAGCAGTGGTGTCAAACTCATTCTGGTTCAGGGCCCACGTTCGGCCTGATTAGATGTCAAGTGGGCCGGACTAGTGCAGTAAAAACATAATAACCTGTAAATAAGAATAAGTCCATGTTTTTTTCCTTTTTTTTTCATGCAAAGAAGTTCAAGTTTATTAGAAAATATTCATATTTAACGAAACAAAACATCACGAACAAGAAGTGTTTGAGCTTTTTTTTTTACACAAGATTCATCGAGCTAAAAACACTTGACTGAATATCAAGTGTTTTTAGTCTGATTACTCAACAACCTGCTTCACAAGGTTGTTGAATGGAAACTAGCTATCAGCCAGTTTAATCCTCTGACTATTCATTTCACGTTGCCTTCAATATGTGTGACAGTTACACAACCACTGACTTCTCTTATGTGTGTGTGTGCCTGCACCTTTTGCACACACACACTCCTGAATGCCAGTGTAGCTCCCCATTCATCAAGGTCATGGCTCTCCAAATGGCGTGAGTCACAAGCAAATGGACTTGACGTTCAGTCGAAGATGTTGCTTTTTAAATATTTGGATCCGCTGAGTGTTTTTTCCACGTCATTCCAAACGAAGACGAAGCATGTGGCCCACGCTTTATGATGTTTTCCTTTTCTCCATGAAGGATGTGTTTCATGTAGGCAGCAGCCGTCCGTAGGAGAAAACCTCCCACACTCCTGTGCCTCCGAGAAGCTGAGTCATCAAGCTCCGACAGGATGGATGAGATGGCTGAGGGAAAGCTGGCACTTGATTGGCTACCGCTGCTCCGGGTTCCCCCGTCTCTGCTGGCTCCCACTGCTAACGTAGGTAAATGAATGGGCGCTGGGTAAAAACAAAAGGGATTACGCTGACCTTTCCGGAAATGTGTTGTTGTAGCTGTGTGGAAGACGTGGTGCGGCATGTACATTTGCTAAATTAGGCAGCGTATGATGGATGTAGCCACAGGAAGAACAGTGGCCTCGTCATGACGCTTTATTCACGCTATTTCTTTTCTCGCTGCCACAGCTTTTTACATGAAGCTATACTGTCTGGGTGAGGATGTGTTTCAGGACCACGTTCTTGGATTTGTACTCCGGGCCCTATCACGTCCGCGCAATTCTCAACACCAACATCTAGAGGTCCAGATGTCGTGATGAAGGAATTAAAGTGAGGGGATTTAAAATCATTAGCAGGCTTTGACACACACATCCACTGCTCCTCCACAGATGAAGCGACTCATGCACCACTCCGTAGCTTTGCATGGTCATGAGTGGCAGCCGTTTATGCACTCGACCAATTTCCTCTTACATGACACACGCTGAATTTGGGTTAGGGTTCTTGATAGCCAGTGAGTATCTAGGTATGAGACCTAGTGGCCCGTGGGCTGCAACTGACCCTCCAAACCATCCAATCTAGCCCACGATTGGATTCCAAAATTGTTAGGATCAAACAGAAAATATCTATTTTTATCTAATTTTATGGAGTGTCCGGCCCCAACTAGGGGCAGTAGTGGCTTAGTGGTTAAGGGAGTGGACTTGGGTCTGGAAGGCTTCAGGTTCGAGTCTACCAGTGGCCAAGTTGCCAACGCCCCCACTCACTGCTCCCTGGGCAGCTTAAAGCTGCCCACTGTTCACTTTGATAAATGCAGAGGTCACATTTAGTTGTGTGCAGTGGTGTGCTGTGTCACAATGACAAGGAGTTCACTTTCAAGTTGCCCGTCCAGAAGAATTCTGGCCCTCTGGCAAATACAGTTGGTGACCCCTGTTGTAAGCAGAAGAAAATAAATGACCTACATTTTTTTAAAAATTCACCTTGACTTTTGTTTTTTGCAGGTTCTTCTCCTGTGAAGGGAGTATGGCCCCGCGGTAGGTTTGGTTAATACATTGTGACTAGAGATCTTATCGATATTAACTTTTTGCCGATATCCAATATTGTAAGCCGATATTGTCCAAACACTTAATTTCCGATTCCGATATCAACCAAAACAGATATATGCAGTGGTTTACCCTCAAAACTGACGTAAACGTCTCAGGACCTCACAAGAGATTCCAGCATATTAAAAACCCAGGCATTGCGTTATCGGGTTCTCATTATCGGAGGAAAAAACGGTAACGATTCTTACCAATATTACATAATTGTGCTAATATCGGGCCGATAATATTGGTCGGACGATGTTATCGTTCGTCCCAAATCGTGACCACTCACTTCCTGCTTGTTTTCAATGAACACATGCACTGGAAGAAATTGAGAAAATATTCGTATTTCTCAATATATGCTTGAATTAAAAAAAAAAAAATGTATTTCTCAATATATGCTTGAATTTATTTTTTTTAAATCTTTTTGCGTTTGGTGAACAGCGGTGGAGGCGGGTGGAGGGGGGTTTGTGTAAAAGAGAACAGATGACAAAAATAGGCTGTTAATGCAATCGTCGTCAATGTGAAATGCAAATTTCATCGTACATGAATCGGGTTTATTTGTTTCTGTTCTGTAGGAACAAACAGACGACTCTCACAACTGTATAGTTGATCTTTGTGGACCTTTTCGATTTCATCATCACTACATACAGGGTGTATTGTAGTCAGCTTTAAAAATAAATATGTAGTTCACTTCACCGAATACATCTCTCGTGCATATGTTATCATTTTAAAGCAGTTTACAGACTTAATGTCTGTCCCTTGTCCTGGTCCCCATGTCCCAGAAGTCCATGCATTACCGTACATTCATTTCCTGTGGTTTGTATCTGATGGGGATTCTCTCAGGCAGATTCGGAGCATCTGTGCATATTTAGTGTACAGGCCTTGAAGTACATCACAGTATCCAATATTTATTGTAAGGCACTGAAGGAGCAAGTGTGCTTCTACGCATATATTATTGATAATGAACAAAAGCCAGCGTTCGTCATTTGTGGTAAGTAGAGAACGCGTCGTAGAGAACGCTGTGGTGATAAGGTGTTTCCTTTGAACGAGTTGTTGAGACACATGGTTTCATGGTTAGTTATTACCATTTTTATTTAAAAAAAATTATAATCTACTGTCTCAGCAGTCAGTGGGTGAGTGGGTGAGTGGGTGAGTGTGGGGTTCACCCTGCTGAGTTCAAGACCATGTTAACTTGGGGTGTCTACTTAACTTAATCCCAATCTGATATAATTTTGGACTCTTTGGACTTTTTGGAGGTGCACGCGTTCCAAGCATGTGACCATGTGACCAATTTAAAAATAACAGTAATACATTTATACATTTGTTTAAGTCTAAATAGAAAACATTATTGTTACTGTTACTATGTTCTCAATTACTAAAACTGCAAATGTTCCTTTACAGTTATGTTTACATTCTTTAGTAATTTCTCCAATATAACGGGCTGGTTTTGGTATTTTGCTATTTTTAAATTGGCAATATCACAGTTTATTGACATATACCGGTGTAATGTTTTTCCCGCTTTTATAATAATAATAATAACAACAACAATAATAATAACGATTATTATTATTCATATTATTATTACAATAATACTAGTAGTAAGCAGAAGCATAATAAATATCTCCACTGTCAAAGGTAATATTTAAATAAAATATTTTTAAAAAAATAAAAAAAATACAAAGGTATCTCCAGCTCACCAGATCATTCAGTTGTGACTTCACGATTTTAGGGGTGGAGCTGGAGTGAAGCCTGTCTTCTCTCTGCCCCTCTCTGTGTGGATGTTTGTTGTTTGTGAGGGAGGCAGCAGCGGCAGCAGCAGCGGCACCAACGTTCACCGTGAGTGGGGAGAGAAAGACTGAAGGGGCGGTGTGAGGGTCTTCGCCTGGCCTGCCCGTTTGCCCCGTCTTTGGGGGGGAACGCTGCAACTTTTCCTCCACGAACGCAACGCAACGGAATGGTGTGGATCCCCTCCTTGTTGCCGTGTGTGTAAAACGTGGACATGGGGCTGTGAGGATTTGTCGTGCGCGAACGTTCTCTTTTTTTTGGCGTTATTTTCTCCCCACCAGCAGCAGCGGCGGCGGCGGCGACGGCCAGTCAGGATGCTGCTGCCTCTGCTGGAGCTCGACTGAGAGAAAGACACAGACCCGCCGTTTGTGTGTTTACGTCAACGTGAGCAGATTCTTTGGATATTTCTCCCTTCTCTTCTTCTCCTTTTTTTTTAACAAGCCAACTTATTCTGAACCGAATTTGACCCCTTTTCAACTTTCAAACATGCTGTTCTTCGCTCTGTCCTCGGCTCGGAACAAACCTGGGTAACGAAAGGAGCAGCTAACGTTGACAACACCCGACACGACGAGCAGCGATACTTCCCCTCGGTAAGGACCGGGCGGCCACAGCAGACACGGTCATACCGGGTGTACGGAAACAAAGCTTCGGTGTCCGTGGTGCTAACGTGGCTGGCAGTGCCATCGGTTTTTTTTTATATAAAGCTTATTTTAGCGTCTAATGCTTCAAAAGCCAAATGAAAAAAAAACACAGCAACGATACGTGGGTGAATAAGTGGTAGTGAAGCTAGCTTTTTTTTTAAATGCTGACCAATGTGCTAACAATAATAGTCATAAAATCACCAGTCACCTCGTTTACTCACTAGAAGTGTTAGCCGCAGAAATGTTAAATGTTTGGTCAAACAAAGGTTCTAAGACCCGGGCGAGTTCATGTGTGAAATGAATTGCAAACTTAAATGACGTTAATGACATTAACCTTGTGTGCTACCGTGCCGAGGCTACAGAAGTCACTCCACACTGAATATGGCTCCAGAAAAATACACAACTGCAAACAACAAGGAAGCGGGTGTTTTAACTTTTCCCATTTCCCTTCGCCGGTTCGCTGTACTGTCTTCAGACTGTGAACCTAGTAACCCCCGACTTAAAAAAAGCCCTAAATATATATTTATATATTTATCACCACTCAGTCACTTTAAGGTTTTTTAAATATATATATATCACCACTCAGTCACTTTAAGGTTTTGAATAACTTAGCATTTCAGACCCTGACAGTCAGTTAGCATCATCACTCCCGCTATTGCACAACAAGGTTCAGCAAGCGTCAATTTCCGAAAAAGAAAATCACACAATTATTTGAATATCCCCCCAACTGATTTGTTTGGCATGCCTGAAAAAAGTTTCAGGTCTGGTGTCCGTCATCAGAAACTGTTCCTTCTCACCTTTGTCCTAAATCACAACGCACCTGAAAAGCAGTATTTTTTTCACGATACACAAGTTTTCAAATTGCTTCAACTGGACAACACAGAGGTATTTCCTAATTTCTTGGTCCTGGTACATTTACTCAAGTTTGGGCAACAAAAACCTCACATTCCACAGTCAAACGATCTTAAATAGATCTTACTATTTATCGTCAACGGTTTAGATGGATAATTTTAACTCTAATCTCAGAAATTGAGTTTGCTCCAGTGGTATTTTTTAATATTTGCCTGATGTTGTGAGTTTGTTTACAATTATTTTTTAAATAGAATATTGCATTTTTTAAATAGAATGGAGAATGTAGCAAGGTTAATGCTGGTGGGGTAAGTAAATAGATCAGCAGTGGCTCACACAGTAGGGGCCGTCATCAGTGGCATATCATACATTTTGTTTCATATTGGGAGATTTAAGACTGGGATGTGATGTTTGAATATCAGCATGTGCGTTTATATTTAGAAATTGATGAATTTTCAGGATTCCAGGACTTTTTTTTGTACTTCCAAGGGTCCCTGAGCGGGTTGAACACTGCTCATTATTGTGATAGGTTAAAAACAGAGGACAAATTTCCATTGTGCATATTATTTGTCTGTATATTTACAATGACAACTCATTGACATAGCTTGACTTGACTTAACTAGAACCCCACAGAAAGCAGATGTCGTAGATTTTGACAACATTGTTGTTGATCTGATCAGGGGTTCACGGTTTGAAAACACTGTTTAAATAAAATGTGGAAAAAGGTTTGCAAACCTTTAACAAAACAAAGATTAAATTCAAAACATCCAAACTGAGATGGTAAATCTCAAAAAAGGGAATTTGTAGGATATATAATTTATTCCATTCTTTTGCGGTCACATAGCATTTCTTGTGCATATCTTAATAGGAAAGATTATAAAAGCTTGCAGTAACCTAATACGGCACAGCACAGACACTGATCACTTCCTCATGTCAGGTCCATTTTAATCAGAACTTTGTCAAGCCACTGTGTGCCAGTGGCACCGTTCCAATAACAAGCTGTAGTCCAGAGCAGATAGCAGCACTCGCCTCACGGTCATCTTTGACCGTCTTACGGTTAGTTTTAGACTGGTTTGTTTTTGGTGTTAACAATGTTGTCCTATTGTTTCTATAAATATCACCTGAGCAAACTGCAATATATGCTCATCAATACCCGTGCCCTTGACTAATACTAGTACCCTAATGACTGTACCCTAATCACCTGAACAACTGCAATAACAGATTCATTAATGGATGTTGTGGTACAGAGGCCACTGAAATCTGATTTTAGAAAAAGTGATACTCTTTGAGGAACAACAATAAGGCAGTATTACAATAAGAAGTGTTATATATATATATTTTTTTTCTATATTATTATTATCGGACCGATAATAGCATAATTATGTAATATCTATAAGAATTGTTATTGGTTTTTCCTCTGATATTGAAAACCCGATAATGCAATCCCTGGGTTTCGTCATATATGCTGAAATCGTTTGTGGGATACTGAGACGTTTACTGTAGTTTTGGGGGGGAAACAGCTGCATTTATTCAGTATCGGTTGATATCGGAATTGGTAATTACGTTTTTGGACAATATCGGCATATCGGATATTAGCAAAAAGTTAGTATCGGACATCCCTTTTTAAAATATTTCAGTGTCATGAACTGAACTGATAGTTCTTCCCATTTTACTAGACAAGAATTTCAAGTTTTAGTCTGGTTGTAGTTAAGGGTTCACGTGTCACATAGGGCCTTAGGCAACATCTTTTTAAATATTCTTTCCCTTTTCTGTTTTTCTCTTTCGCAGATGCATGCCTTTTTGGGATTAATTTAGTCGTGGGGACTTGAAGCAGCGATTGATGCATCTTGGGGTGTCTGAGTCCATGAGAGAGTGCGAGTACAGCCAAATAAGCACTCGCAGCTCCACACCAATGGAGACCCCGTACAAGAAGAAGACTCCCAAGAGGAGGAAGTGGGAATCCTTCCCAGGTCGGAATAAGTTTTACTGTGATGGGAGGATTATGATGGCCAAGCAAACAGGGGTTTTCTACCTCACCCTTGTCCTCATCCTAGTGACCTGTGGACTTTTCTTCACCAATGAGTAAGTACGACTGCAATGTGTGTACAATATATGTTTCTCCAGCCTGCTCTTCACTTGACACAGTGGATTTGGAAATGGTTAGATAAAGGTCATTTTTCTTGTTGATTTTGCTGCAGAGTTGATCTATTTCTAAAAATGTAACATCTACTTAGTTGACTACAATATGCATGAGAACACCTTCTAAGAATGTTAAACTTTTTTTTGAGTTTTTGTTGTTGTTGTTTATTGGTAAAAGCATTATTTCATTAAGTTTTTTTTTAGTTTTTTTTTTAGTTTTCCTGCTAATTGCATTTGTCTAATTTACTTTAATGTAAGATATGATGGTTGGATCTGAACTCACTTGTGTGTCCTGGCATGTACTGTGCTGTGCTTTGGACCACTTTCTGTTGCTCCATTAGAACAGTGTGATCACAAGGACACACATCAACACAGAAAGCTCATCTATACTAGATAAGAATACTGCACCATCATGAAATTAGTGGCTCAGCTGGGCAGTCTTATCAGGGTAAAGTGCTCCAGTGCCAGATATAGCTTGGAAGGCAGAATATACAGCGGTTAATGTCTGCTGTTCTGTATCTGTCTTTAAAGAGTGTGAATGCTTAATGACACGCTGTGGGGCAATCTCAGATTATGTGTGTGTGTGTGCAGAAAGTTTATGGGGTTTTTTTCACACACACGCACTGCAGGACAGTGTCTGAGCGAGCCATGTTTACAATGACTGGAGAATCTGTGCGCAGTCCATGTAAGGGCTGCCCATTTTTGGTTAGTTTACAAATAGAAGGGCCGTTGAGGCTGCTTCATACAGTAGTTACTCCTATTGAAATGATCCTGGGAACTTGGCAACGGAAACTCTGAGTTGACCTTCTTGATTTGTGTTCAATGATGAGGTGTTTAGTCCCTTATTCCAGTCACCAGGTACTTTATTTTGAAAGTTGTTGAACTGAAGAGAGAACATCTGGTTTCACAAAAACACATAAAAATGTTGTGACTGACTCTGGGACCCTCAGTAGTGTCTGCCCCCCAACCAGTATGTCCTGCCCCTGCCTATGATCCCACCTAGTGATGTCTCTGTGAACTGTATTGGGAAGTCGTGTCTGTGAACACATCTGATTGGTTAGTCTAATGTTTCTGTAGAGTCATTATTATGGATTAGTTTTTCAGTAATCCATTATGGCCTGATTGTAACACTGACCCATTTTTTTTTTATTGTGTTGCATCAAGAGACTAATCAGAATAATCAGTTGTAAGTATTTCATTCTAGACATAGAGTAGCATTTGTGTATTTTGCCAGTTCAGTATTTGTTGGATGTAGAATCCTGGGTATATGAATATGCCAGAATCCCAGAATAATCCTAAACTTTCACAGATAATTTGGCACGTTGATGTCCGACGACATTTAGTGGTATCAATATAAATTACAGTCTCAGATTTGTTGTACACTAATGCATAAAACAGAAGCTTTGACATCAGTTTTTTTGTCTGCTGTCGACACAATTTAATGCTAAACACCGGATTGTATTGTTTTGTTTAAATCTCATTGATGTCAGATTAAAGTGACAGAACTTTTGCTAGGGTTGCCAAAGAACTAAACTGAGAGCACTGGTAGATCAGTGACCATATATGGAATTAATTCATGCATTCAATCACTACCCCAACATATAATCAGTATGCCTGGTGTATATGAGCAAATATATATATATATAACGTTTTAGTGTAGGTAGATCCCAAGCAGAAAAAGTATTGCTACCCGTGACCTATGCTATAGCTATATGCTGTGGTGACAATGTCTGGTCCATGACTGCAACAGAAGTTGAGTCTTTTCTCGGTCCCTTGAGCTACAGAGGAAACATTAATTCAACAGGAAACAGTCAGCAGACCTAGCTATTGACCTGAGTCGTCATTAACTGAAATGCATTTTGATTGGGTGTGTTTTTCTTATTGTACTCCTCAGTTGTCAACACCTGTAGTGGAGTTCAGGCTTTAAAACCCTGTTGTATCATCTGAATTGGCTGCGCGTCCTGTAATGGTTGTTAAATGAAACCACAGAACAATGTGTGGAGACCAGAAACAGCCAACAGATGGGGAGTGCACAGGGATGGAGACATGCACAGAACATTTAACAGTTGTTGCTACATCACCGGGTCTCCTTTTGCTTGTTTTTGTCTCCGTCTAAGGGTTGCTCAGCCATGCACGATAAACCCTGTTAGTGACCATTTAGACCTCACTCTGTTTATTATTCTGGAGCTGGCTCCCTCCAGACGTCCACTGTTGTCGCACATGTTGCCTTCTCACCACTGTGGCTTGTAAAAGTTCACCATAGCAAATGTTTCGAGTGTGTTGTTTTACTCATTTGTCTAATGTGAAAATTGATCTCACGAACACCGGTTTTTAAAGCCATAGAGCTTGACCTTTTGGATTTGGTACAAAACCAAAAACAATATACAGTTGCAGTGATAGTATCACTCTACTGATTACTGACTGTCTATAAAACTAGTCAAAAGCTGTTTTGGAAGATTTTCTTTAAGATAAGTTTATGTTACTTGAAAGAAAAACTTATGTAATTCCAGCTTTTAGAATGTAAATGTTTTAAATGGTTTTTTTTGCTGATTCCTGACATTAGACTTGATGCTTCTGATCTGTGGATAAGAACAAACCATTTAGATTTTTTTTTTTCTGGTAGTCAATCCCTAACTTTGATTGTTTTTTGAACTTTTTACGACCATTCCTTAAAAATTAAAATATCATAGTGAACAGCAACACCAAAGTAATTGTTTGTAGCTGCCTTATTCCAGAATATTTAAGCTATAAAAATGGAACAGAAGAGAACAATTACCCATTTGTTGGAGTCTGTTGCTGAGTTGTTATTGCTGAGGTTTTGTGTTTTGGGCTGGTGAATGGATATAAAGTGCTAATTCAATTCTGTTAGCCAAGTGTTGGCTTGTCCTATTGATATTATTAATTCACACAAAGCTACAACACTAGCGATAGCGTT